GGCTGGTGGGTTTGAGCCCCATGTTGGGCTCCAGGCTGACAGCAAGGAGCCTGCTTGAAATTTTCTCTCCCCCTTTTTATGTCCCTCCCCAACCCTTTCTCGCTCAAAAAAAGTAAACTTAACAAAAAACAAAGACTGTAGCAAGAGCCAAAGAATGCTACTATATCATAATAAAGGGTACAATCCAATAGGAAGATCTAACAATTGTAAATATTTATGCACCCACCATGAGAGCACTCAAGTACATAAAACAATAACAAACATAAAGGAACTAATTGATAATAATACAGTAATATGGTACTTTAACACCCCATTTACACCAATAGATCTTAACAAAAAATCATGAAAAAATACATCTTAACAGAAAATCACCAAAGAAACAGTGGCTTTGAATGACAGAGTGGCCTGGGAGGGGCAGAGAGAGAGGGAGACACAGAATCTGAAACGGGCTCCAGGCTCTGAGCTGTCAGCACAGAGCCCGACGCGGGGCTCAAACTCACGGACCGTGAGATCATGACCTGAGCCGAAGTCGGATGCTTAACCGACTGAGCCACCCAGGCGCCCCAAGATGGTAACATCTTGAACTCAAGCCCTGAACCTGATGCCATGATAACTGAGACTTGCAGGAGGTACTGGGGGGGTGGGGGTAGTGAGTGTATTTTTCAGGTGGGAGGAATACAAACATTTGTGGCCAGGGGGTAAATTATACTGCTTTTTAAATGTGTCCATAGGTTTTAAATATTAATTCCATTAAAAAAAAAAAAAAAGACCATGGAACAACCTTAGTGATTTGCTCCTAATGAACAGAATATGTGAATATGATGCTGTGTGTATTCCAAGCCTAGGTGACAAAAGGCGATACAGCTTCTGCCTTGCTCTGTATCTCAGGTTGCTTACTTGGAATCTAGCTCCCCATCTAGTGAGGAAGTCTAGGCCACAAAGAGGGTCTAGGTGTGTCAGTTTAAGTGTTTCTGCTGCCTCCTGAACTGAAGTCCCAGGCAACAGCCAGCATCAACAACCAGACGTTAGTGAACAAATCTTCAAATGGATCCAGCCCCAAACCTTTCAGTTGCCCCACCTGAAGCTGAGCGGGGCAGAGACTAGCTGTCCTGGCCACACTTTTCCTAACAGATTTGTGAACAAAAGAAATCTAAACTTTGGGGAGTTTGTTAAGAAAAAACAAAAATGATAAATTGAAAAGTGGATGAAAAAAAGAGATAAGACACATAAACTTGTATAGGAGAATTGGTCTCCATTAAAGTAGGATGTAATAAATGTTAAGATTAATTTATTAACAACCAACGGTGCTAATGAGAAGAAGCAGATAACTAGAAGCAAGATCTAAGAAGTTTTTCCCCAGTTAGGATATTAGCTGTTCATTTTTCATATATGGCCTTTATTATGTTGAGGTATAGTTCCTCCAAGCCTACTTTGTTGAGGTTTGTATCATGAATGGATGTTATAGTTTGCCAAATTGTTTTTCTGCATCTATTGCAATATGATTTTATGCTTTTTTAAAAATATGAGGTATCACATTCATTGATTTGCAAATATTGAACCACCCTTGCAAACCAGGGGTAAATCCCATTTGTTACAGTGAATGATTTTTTTTTAATGTTTATTTTTGAGAAAGAGCATGAGCGGGGGAGGGACAGAAGAGAGGGAAACACAGAATCTGAAATAGGTTCCAGGGTCCGAGCTGTCAACAGAGCCTGACACTGGGCTTGAACCGACGAACCATGAGATCGTAACCTGAGCTGAAGTTGGATGCTTAACTGACTAAGCCACCCGGCTGCCCCTGGTGAATGATTTTTTAATGTATTGTTGGATTCAGTTCGCTTATTTTGTTGAAGATTTTTGCATGTTCATCAGACATACTGGCCTGTAATTCTCTTTGTGGTGTCTTTATCTGGTTTTGGTATCAGGGTAATGCTGGCATCATAGAATGAATTTGGAAGTTTCCCTTCCTTTTATGTTTTTCTGGAACAATTTGAAAAGCACAGGTATTGGGGCACCTGGGTGGCTCAGTCAGTTAAGCATCCGACTTCGGCTCAGGTCACAATCTCACGGTCCGTGAGTTCGAGCCCCGCGTCAGGCTCTGTGCTGACAGCTCAGAGCCTGGATCCCGTTTCAGATTCTGTGTCTCCCTCTCTCTCTGCCCCTCCCCTGTTCATACTCTGTCTCTCTCTGTCTCAAAAATAAATAAACGTTAAAAAAAATTAAAAAAAGAAAAAAAAGATGTTACCATCTTAATCAGGTGCAGTGGGGATAAGGTGCCTGGGTTATGGTATCTAAAGTATAGCCCCTTGAGTGCAAGTGCTCTCAATATGAGGACTTGAGAACTAAAGAGGCAGTTATTTACCACTCACAAATGCAACATTCTAGTCAACTGCTGAAGACTCTCCCGTTCAGAAAAAGATGGGAGGCACCCTAGTCTATAAGAGTTTTGAAATATAGCCTGATGCATGCTGTCAGTTCTTAAGTTAGGACTTAGTCCTAACCACGGAATACTTTCTCCATGTGTATTCCCTTTCTTTACTCTTTGAGCTCTTGGTTCCTTCCTTTTCATAAGGAATGACCTGTATTTGCAGCTGTTTTCTCATCCTGCTTCCTCCCTGTGGGACTTCTAAGACCCAAAGGCCTCTTTTCATTTTGCACGATTTGGTCTCTTTTAGTCCAAGCTAGCAAATAGTATGTTTGCTGCTGTAATTCTCTTACCTTTTTTGGTTTTCTGTAAATATTACTGGATTTCATGCCGTGTTTTAACAAAGCCAACCTCGCAAGTCCTTTTGAGATAAGCTTTTCGCTTCAGGTTTCCTGTGAAGCTCTTACATGACAATGCCTTTAAAATTCGTCTACTCTTGGGGCTCCTGGCTGGCTCAGTTGGTAGAGCATGTGACACTTGATCTCTGGGACCTGAGTTTAAGCCCCATGTCGGGTGTGGAACCTACTTAAAAAAAAAAAAATCTTATACTCTTAAGATCCTTAAAGAAATTTGAGGCACACCTTAAATCTTTCTGTTTTCCTGGTAGCACCCTGGATTTTCTCTTAACCCAAAAGCCATTTCTTCATTTTGGCATTATTTGACAGTTCAACATGTAGAGAGGCTGTAAATGAGAAACAGATATTTGAACCCAGTAAGTCCTGGTTCCTTTCTTTTTTTAAAAATTTTTTTTAACATTTATTTATTTTTGAGACAGAGAGAGACAGAGCATGAACGGGGGAGGGTCAGAGAGAGGGAGACACAGAATCTGAAACAGGCTCCAGGCTCTGTGCCGTCAGCACAGAGCCCAACGCGGGGCTTGAACTCACGGACCGAGAGATCATGACCTGAGCCGAAGTGGGCCGCTTAACCGACTGAGCCACCCAGGCGCCCCATCCTGGTTGCTTTCAATTGCATAGCCTTTCTTTAGTTTCTCTTTCCTATCCATTTTATTTTCAGGTATTTTGTAGCATGACTTCCCTTTCCTCCAGTGTCATTTTCTTCACTTGATTAGAAACCCTTGCTGTCAGCCTCTTCACAGGCCATCAGGTTTCCACTAAGTCTCGTGGAGGCCCTTTTTGGGTCTCATTCTTACACTTTTCTACATCTTTTCAGGTTCCACCTACCTCCTGGTTCAAAGGAAGTTTAGTTTTAGGTTTTTTTAAATAGCAGCACACCATTTTTAGTATCAGTATCTGTGGTAGTAATTTACTGCTGCATAATAAGCCACCTCAAAGCCTAGTAGTTCAAAACAGCATTTATCTTGTTCACTAATCTTTAGTTTAGGCAAAGCAGAGTAGGACAACTCATTTCTTCTTCATTTGGCATCAGCTGGGATAACTGGAAGCTGGAGACTAGAATCATCTAAAGGCTTGTTCATGCATGTGTTTGGCTGTTGAGGCTGGCCTTTGCCTAGGATGTTGGCTAGTCTCAGCTGGATTATCTACATGAAGACTCACTAGGTAGCCTGGGATTCCTCACAACGTGGTGGCTGGGTTCTAAGGGTGAGCTTCCCTAGAGAAAGAAAGTCAGATGGAAGCTATATCACATTTTCTAACCTGGCCTTAAAAATCACAGCAGTTCTGCATATTCTGTTCACTAGAAACCAGTTACTGAAGCCAGCATATATTTAAGGGGAGGAATTTTCACAGGAGAAGTATCAACGAATTTATAAAACCACTACATCCACTCACTTTGTCTTACCAATCATATATAATGGAAGGAAGTCCTTCCCAGCTCAGCATCACTGAAACTCCAGCCAGTTTTGTTGTTGTTGTTATTTAGTATGATCTCTATTTTGTAGAAAGTAACAAAAGATTACAAGATAACAGTATTGAATTAAATTTTTTTTTGCCTCAAAAAAATATGTGGATCATCCAATTAAATTTTTATACTGGGAGATATGATTTCTTAACCTGGAGAATCATTTCTCCTGGGAATGCAGTTCAAATTAGCATAAAGCATTTGCAGTTCAGAAAAAGGCTGTGGCATTAGAATCATTACTTATAGATTCATGAATTAGAGTCTTATTTTCAGAGTCTTGGTATTTTTTGACTCGGGCATACATAAGTCAATATGATATTGCTAAAACTTCTTTAAAAATTATGGAGTGTTAAGATGGGGGAAGGGCTAAGAGACTTTCTACTAAGAGGGGAGTTATTTTATGAAAGATAGGAAAGAATCATAGAAAAAGTGTAGAATCAAGTGCAAATGTTGTATAGTAAACACAATGATAGCAAAGATCTATTTCAGTAACAGCTGATGGCTTTAACTTTGCTCTTGATTTTCTGAGTTGTTAAGGTTCCACATTCTAAGACAGGGAACATTTTATTGCAAATGAATTTATTTAAAAATTTGAGTGCCTGGCTGGCTCAGTTACTCTTGATCTTGAGGTTGTGAGTTCAAGCCTCACACTGGGTGTAGAGATTACTTAAAATTTGAAAAAAAATTTTTGATAGTAGTTTTGAGTTAGACCCATTTCACTCCACTTCCAAACTATATTATTTTATTCATGCAGGCTGATGACCTTACAACAAAACCGGAAACTACATCTTCAAAATGTCTACACCTGGATGCAAAAAATCAAGTTCTTCAACAGGAGTTATTGTCAATGAAAGCTTTAGGAAAAAAATGTGAAAAACTAGAGAGCAATAGCAAGAAGTTACAACAAGAAGTCGTAAAATTGAAAAGTTTTATGGAAATGAATATGGTAGAACGCAGTCAAGTGGAACAGTATAAACGGGAGATTGAAGAAAGAGCACGACTGGAGATAGTAGAAAAATTAAAGGAAGTCAATCTGTTTTTACAGGTTAATTTATTGATCTGTAATGTGCTTTAACTCATTGCACTGCAAATTACATTTTGGATAGATGTATTACATAGGTTTCCTCTACTTGTTTTATGGTAATTTGTAGATTTCTAGAGGCATTTGTTCCTCCCTTTAAAGATTTCAGTTTTCATCATTATTCTCACTAAATTGAGAGGATAAGAAAAAAGTATGATTTAAACAACTATTCTCACTATTAAGAGGAAAGAAAAAATTATGATTTAAAAATTATACTGTACTTGGATTATTCTTGTTTATTTTTGACTTTTAAAATTTTGTCATTGATTCTATTTGAATTATCAGATTGCATGAATACTAATACAAGAATGATTGAACTTTAATTTTATAAATCATAATTTAATTCAGTTGACATTGATGATAAATATTTTACACGAGCTTTTTTTCATTTAAAATTGCTCTCTGAATAATTGACTCAGAACTAAAGGAAACAGGTATAATTATTCAGATTATAGCTATTTTAAAACTATCCTGTTAATTTGCTTTAGGCACAAGCAGCAGCTCAAGAAAACTTAGACCAGTTAAGAGAAAATGCTCATGCTTCAATGAGAAGTCAAATGGAACTTAGAATTAAAGATCTGGAATCTCAGGTCTCTACAATGAAGACTTCTCAAGAAGATTCTACTAAAACTGAGTTGGAAACATACAGGCAACTCTACCTAGAAGAGTTAAAAGCTAGAAAGTCCTTGAGAAATAAGCTGAACAGGTAAGTCAAAACAGAATCATAGACAAGAAATTTAGCTTATTAATTTGCCTCTAAAGCATGATTTCTGTGGAGCCAAGATCATGAGATGAGTAGGAAGTGAAAGCCAACTAGATCGTGTAATTTTGGAAAATGATGTTTCTAAGTGAACTTACTTTTGAAATGTTAGTCCAGGACGGTTTGCATCCCTCCTCTTTTTTTGGTTTT